TCCCTGAAAGCAGAAGACATATGAATGAGATTACTAACTCCCTGAGCTAACCAATGATGAATAGTAAAGTGCCCTGAATTTGAACTAGAACATAGGCAATGAAATCCACAGATGTTCAAAAAATATACAATGACAGGTGTAGAATCCTGAATATGTTCATCAAAATCAAGTAACTATCGATGAAAAACAATAAGCCGCAAGGAGGATTTGAATCAAGCATTATATTCAAATGATTAATACAAGCAGGAAGAAGCAATTTAATTTCGGTAAACATCCTGCATATCCCTAACTCGAATTCCTAACTCAAATCACTTAACCCCAATTTAAATTTGTTTCCGTATCATCCAAATTCAAGCTTCCCCATCAGCAACTCGCAGACGAATCACCAGTCTATTAAAGCTAATAAAACTAGCTGCGGCATTTAAGCAAACAGGTTGTGTGCAAACGCGAATCCTTTAAATTAAAATCAACCCTAGAAAACAACGCTGCTACAGGGAAAATCACAACACCCAAATCCCGAATTCGTTCAAGGACTGAAGAGGATGGATTAATTTAATCCGGAGCAAGTAATCCATACCTTGATTTCCGATGAGGCCTGCTTGTGGGAAACCGGAAAGCGAGTACCACCCGAGCTTTCCATGCGGGAAGGAAGAGTCAAAGTGTCCTGACTAGGGTCAAGTCAATCAAGTTGCTTTGCTCACCAACTCTTCAACTTCGAAGTCAATCCACCTACCATTTGTTTTTCTCTGTTCTTCTAGTTCTTTAAGCAGCGCCCTTACAATTTATTTATTTATTTTTATTTATTGTTTTTAGTATGTCAAACCAATTTTTTTATTTTCTTTCTTTAAAACATTTTCAATTTAAAAATTTAAATAAAAAAATGACCTTTTCTAATTAAAAATAAATTATATATTTGATTAATTAAATGATACGTAGCTACATTTAATAAAACAATTATCGACCTACTAAACTAGATGAATCATACTAAAAAAACGAGTACGACTTAGTAATCACAAAATTTTAGTTACACGCGGTTGGACTTTTTCTACGCATTTAAAAATAAATGTATGGTCAAAATAAACTTTATACTTAATTTTTATATAACATTTAATCTACGTACTTATTTTTAATATTTTATTCTTTATAACTTTATAAATATGGAGTTGAATAAATCCTGTTTTAATTAAAAAAACAATTATAAATATGAAAGGCGGGAGTATTCATATGATCTAATTACCTAAATAACTTGAATTATGTCACTCAAAATCGTCTATCGACACTTCATAGATTATCTTTAAATTTTTTAATGTTACTTTTTGAAATGTGGCACTAAAAAAAATAAAACGGTATTTTTTATGTTTTTTTAAAAAAGTTTAAACATGTTTTTAATTTTTTTAAAAAAATCATAATTATTACTTTTAAAAACTAAAAAATTATTATACATATATATTTAAATTTTTAAAGTATTTTTGAATTCTAAAATATATATATATCTTAATATATATATATATATATTTGAATTAATAAAAAAACGTGGCAGCATTGTTAAAGATATTTAGTACTAGTTTACCATATATATCATATTTAATATTTTATTATAAGTTAAATATTTAAATATTTATCTTTTTTTACTATAAATATCTTTCAATATATTATTCTTTCACTACCTTAATTTGTTTGATTATAAATAGATAACTTTTACTTAACCGTAGTCTCCAACATTATTACTACTTTTAAGAGTAATATATATATATATATATATATATATATATATATATTATTTATTTATTTATTTATTTAGTGTGTGCTTGGTTTCGGGGAAGATGAGGTATAGAGAAAATGATGAGATTGGGTTGGCCCGACGCGCAATAATTCCAACTACTTTGAAATCTTTATTATTATTCTTCCGCAGTCTAAATTGAACCTCAACGAACCCAATTTATATATATATTTTTTGTCTCCTCCGGTGGGCTCTGTTAGTTTTGTTATAAGTAAGTGAAAATCCACGCAGCTGTCCACCACGAACAAATTTTCTACTCCCCAATTTCTCTCTCTCACTCTTCTCTCTCTAGATTTTCAGTGTAATCGGCGGAATGGGTGTTGTAGTTCGTTCCGAAGAGACTTTCGTATCGGAGTTGGAGCGGTGCCGCCGCATGCTCGTCGCCTGCGCCGGTGTTCAGAGGAGGAAAGACGGCAAGGAATTTAAAAGCCTAAAACCGAGGCCGATCGACGATGCAGATGAGAAGGTCGTGTGTGTAACTAGCGGCGTTTCGTTTCTCGGTTCCGCCATCGTTAACGAGCTATCACTTCACGGATACTTTGTTCGTGTCATTGTTGATAATCCTGGTGTGTAATTAATTAATTAATTGAAGTTCTTTGATTCTTCATTTTGATCAATTTCATTTGCTAATGATTCAAATCGAAATGGAATGTTGAGTTGTTATTTTGAGACTAATGAAATCCCTAAATGGCAGAGGATGTGAACAAATTGGAAGAGACGACGAGCGGCCGCCATAACGTGACGGTTGTTGTAGCGGATCTTACAGATGTAAATAGCTTAGTGGAAGCCTTCAATGGCTGCCGTGGCGTTTTTCACACCTCTTCCTCCATTGATCCTTCTGGTGTTTCTGGTTACACGGTGAGGGCTTGTTCTTTACTTTTCTTGGAAAGAAAGTTTCTGCCATTAAATGAACTCTCACATCCCTGTCTTCATCGCATCATATAGGATAGTTTTGATTTCTTTTCATTTGCTTTAGAGCCTCGATTGCTTTCATTCTCAACCATCGCTTCCATGTTCAGATCTCTATCACGTCATTTTCTCCTTAATTAATACTGATTTCATTGGTTGAACCTTCTAAAAATTTCTGGAAATTCTGAAGCATTCATATAATATAGTTGAACTGGCATCGCTACCGCTAATTGAACTAAGAACTCAGAAGAATATCAAATCATAAGTTTAGTCCTGCTTTAAATCCTGCTTTTGTAATTGTTCATGTTTTGAATTTTGTCTAATGGAATAGATCTAAGAACTTCTGAAAATATCAAGGTTTCGATGCTTTTGAAGTGTATTCTAAAGATATTTTGGGGATTGGACATTGGTACAGAAAGTAATGAGCGAAGTGGAAATGAGGACGACTGAGAATGTAATGGAGGCGTGCGCAAGAACAGAGACCGTACGAAATTGTGTTCTTACATCTTCTCTTCTTGCTTGCATCTGGCGGGACCAAGCTGGTGAAAGTGAAAGCATTGGATCCTCACGAATTGTCGACCATGCCTGCTGGAGCAGCTTACAGCTTTGCCAAGACAAAAAGGTCAGTCCATTTCTTTCTCCTTGCTTCATCATTAACAACATGATTTCTTCTTCCTCCTTCCTTGAGAACATGATTTCTCCATCTTCTTCCTAGAGAGCATGATTTCTTCCTCTTCTTCCTCGAGAGCATGATTTCTTCCTCTTCTTCCTCGAGAGCATGATTTCTTCCTCTTCTTCCTTGATTGCATGATTTCTTCCTCTTCTTCCTTGAGAACACGATTTCTTATTCTTCTTCCTTGAGAACACGATTTCTTATTCTTCTTCCATGAGAACACGATTTCTTCCTCTTCTTCCTTGAGAACACGATTTCTTCCTCTTCTTCCTTGAGAACACGATTTCTTCCTCTTCTTCCTTGAGAGCACGATTTCTTCCTCTTCCTCCTTGAGAACAGGATTTCCTCCTCTTCCTCCTTGAGAACAGGATTTCCTCCTCTTTCTCCTTAAGAACATGATTTCTAACAAAGAAGTTTGATTATCTTCCTCTTCTTCCTTGAGAGCACGATTTCTTCCTCTTCCTCCTTGAGAGCAGGATTTCCTCCTCTTCCTCCTTGAGAACAGGATTTCTTCTTCTTTCTCCTTAAGAACATGATTTCTAACAAAGAAGTTTGATTATAATGCAGTTATGGTTTGCATTGGGGAAACTGAAATCAGAGAAAGTGGCATGGAAAATAGCACAAGAAAGTGGGCTAAAACTAGCCACTATCTGTTCTGCGCTCATAACTGGCCCCAACTTCCACCGCAGAAGTTCAACTGCAACGATAGCTTATCTCAAAGGTAAGACTTCAAAAGCCATCGAAAAAGAATCTAAAACTTCAACATCAATATGCATACATATTAAAAAAAAACTCAAGACCTCCATTAATGTCAATCCAGGAGCTCGAGAGATGTACACAAATGGTCTACTGGCAACGGTAGACGTGACCAAATTAGCCAAAGCACACGTCTGTGTGTATGAAGGAATGAAGGAAAATTCTTCCAGCAGATACATATGTTTCGACCGTGTGATTTCAACAGCGAATGAAGCATCGATGCTGGCGACAGAGATCGGAGTCCCGGTTGGGAGTATAGTCCAAACCACTCCTCCAATCAACTCTCCGGTTTCGTTTCAACTGTCGAACAAGAAGCTGTGTGATCTAATGTTTAGAAGCAACCTTCAACGCAGCTGCTTGAATGAATACATATCTTCTTGAAGGAGGAATTCCAGGGTAAAAATATAGGAGTGGCATTTATTTATTTGATAAATATGATATAAATAGTCCATTTTTTATTACTTTGTTTATACATATTGAAGAGAGTGAGAGCGCAATTCTTTTATTACTCCTACAACTTGTCTTTGTAAAAAAAGAAAAAATATATATTAATCATTTATTCAATTTTTAAATTCTTAAATTCGACCGCATTCAAATTACAGTGATTAAAAAAACTTAAAATAATCTAGGCTCGTCTAATATTTAATTATAGTAACTTTAAAATTAAAATAGGTTTGGTTTGGAAAATTATTGAAAATATATACTTTGTGTGTCTAATTACAGTTAATTGTCAATAACCAATAATTCAGAAGCTATAATTTTAGATTCTCCTAAAAATCAGTGCATAAAATAAAATAAAATAAAATAATATAACATATATATATATTATTATATATATATATATATATATTATTATATTATTATATTGGTATTTAAATAGGAGAAAAGTGAAAAGGCAGGTTTTGGAAGACAGAAGCCGTTCCCAATATTGGCTGTCACTGCCATCGGTACTCTGTGAATATTTCTTCTTCTTCTTCGTCTTCTTCTTCTTCTTCTTCTTCTTCTCTCTCTTCCGTTTCTCTCTCTTCAAAATCCATGAATGCTTCGCACACATTTGTATGCTGAATCCAACATCACTCCCGATTACGATAATTAAATCTTTTTTTGTTTGTTTGTATTTTCATATATCGCACAGAATACAAGAAGATCGATCCCGAACTCAGAAACTCTTCCACAACGACCTCGCTTTTCCGGCAACCGCCAAGAAATCTCCAACGCTCCTCTCCTTTCCGGTCAGTTTTCCGATCGCCTTGTTTATTTAGGGTTTCGCGTCTTTTCTCAGATGCCTCTGTTTTCATCTTCAAATTAGTTTTAATGTTTGTTATTGAATTTCAAATGCAATTCAAATCATATATTATTATTATTATTACATTTGTAGTGTTTTCTTCTCAAATATAGAAATGCTGACTATATCCAATTAAAATCTTTCTATATATATATATATATATATATTTTTTTTTTTTTTGTTGGAAATCATAATTTTATTTTCAAATCGATATATTTCTTCAGTTTCTTGAAAATTAAACTCATTTAAAAAATAAAAAAGAATAATAATTTGTGTGGTTGGATATGGGAGCGTTTTCTTTTTCCAACATAGGAAATACTGGCCATCCAATTAATTTTTTCTTTAACGTTTTTTTTAAATAATTCATTTTCTTAATTTTCTCAGACAGAAAATACCAATTATTATAGAGTTATAGTTAACTATTCTTAACTAAAATAAATAAATAAATAAATAAAAAGGGTAAATTATTTTAATGAAAAATAAAGAAATAAAATAGGAGTAATTTGGGTGGGCTATCCCAGTCATGAAGTTGACCCATCATCCCACGTGTTATCTTATCCATTTAAAACTAATTATATTATTTGGTCATATTTTTTAACCTATTTTTGTGTGTATTTTTTACCCATTTATTTTACTTCCCAAAATAATGAAATAAAAGTGTTTTTTTTTAAGTAAAAATCCTATTTAATCAAAATCACTTTTTGCTGGAGAATGAAAATTGCAAGCTAATTTAAGAAATGATAGTAAGTTTATAATCAAAGAATACTCCCTCCACCTCCAATTGGTATGAGGTTTTTTTGGAAAATCAAAAGCAAAGCCATGAGAGCTTATGCTCAAAGTAGACAATATCATATCATTGTAGAGAGTTTGTTGGAGGACAGGTATTGGAAGATGAAAGTCTTTATAACAAAGAATGAATGTAGAGCAAATTGTCATGAGAGCTGCTCAAAATTGACACTATCATGGTCTGCGTTCTTCTAGCACTCTTTACCTTAAAAAAAAAATTCTCATGCAAAATCCATGTAATGAACAAAAGAATATTAAATGAGAGAGAACAGTTTTTTTTTTTTTAAATTTTAATTTTTTTTTATTTTTAATTTCGTAGACTACATTCTAAGTGTTCATCTAAATTTCTTGCAGATTCTGATCAAGAAATCAGAAAAAGAGAATTCAAATATGGAAAAAGACTCATCTCGACCCACACGGCGGCAGAGATTCGCGGTGGACGACGGCGCCGATCTAATAGACTGCTCCGGCAAGCAATGCCAGTCGTGCACCACCGGCTTGGTTGCGGACTGCGTCGCCATCTGGTTATGCCCATGCTCGGTTGTCAGCTTCTTGGCTCTGGCTCTCGTCAAACTTCCGTGGATGATCGGGCGGCGGTGTCTGCAGCAGAGAAGGCAGAAGAGGAAATTGATTGGGCGGAGAGGAGAACGCGAGGGCGGTGGTGTGGCGGCGGAGAGTGGTGGGGGTGCGGCTAGTGAGGAGGGGCTGCCGCCGTGGTTCGGAGAGGAAGAAGCAGGGATGGGGAATTTGAGTGCGAGGTTTGAAGCAGAGAGAATTTGGGTGCAGTTGCATCAGGTGGGTCAGTTGGGGTTTGGAACTGTTTCCTTCACTGGGAATACAAATTTGTAAAAGGTTACAAATTATCTAAATTATTATTAATTTTGCATTAATTTAGCCTTTAAATTCACTAAATATGCTATCAATTTATAATAATCTAAACCTTATTATAAAAAATCTCATCAAAATTAAATGTTAATATATGTTTTTAATGAATTAAGTTTTGTAGTTTATAAACACATTTAATCCCATAATTAATTGATTAAATTCTATTAAATTTTGATATATTTTTTTGGTGTAGCAACTAAATGGTTAGGAAATTTTAAATAAAATAATAAAATTGTTTTGTTTTTGTTTTTTTTTTTTTTTTTTTTGTAGACAAGAAATAAGAACGGAATCCAGGCTACCATTGAGCATCGAGACTCGAGAGATAGAGATCGTATGAGGAAAGAGCTTCTTGCGAAGAATCGACTACAGAGACAACGATGGAGGATCAACCGACTCGAATAATGCTTGCAGTGAATCAGTCAACCATCAATGGCTATCCGCATGCATCCATAAGCTGTAGAAGGGCCTTCGAATGGACTCTCCAGAAGATCGTCCGCTCCAACACCTCTGGTTTCCACTTGCTCTTCCTCCATGTCCAAGTTCCTGACGAAGACGGTTCGTTCTCCGTCTCCTCTCGATTTCTTTACTTTCTTATTCTTTTCTTTATGGCCTCTTTTCCTAATGCTGATCGATTATGTGAAATGCGATGCTATTCTGTTGGTTGTTTACTGTTTTGCGGAATCTTGAGCTTCGTTGGATGAACTTCGACCTTTAATTTGATCATTTTTTGGTTGATTGGGAGCAGAGAAGGGAAGTGTTTCTTTGTAAGAAGGTGTTATTTCTGCTACCGCCCTGTCGTCTCGGCTGATCTTAAAATTTTGTAAATTAGTTGTAAATATATCCAGTGATTGCACCGATGATTGGTTTATATGATTTTCTTGTACACAATGGATTCTCTGTTTCAAAATTTCTTGAAGTTTCGAATCTATAAATAAGAAACGAGCTTACTCGGTCTTCCTCTTGATGTATTTTTTCTGTCCGATACAGATACGTGCAATATTTAGGTGTTATTCGTTTTTTCCTGGTAATTGATTCAACCATCTTTTTCATCAACATCTTTGGAGAAAGACTAATGCTATTTCATCTGTCCAATCGTCAAGGAACTTGTTAAATTCAAAACATCCAAATATGACCAAAACATTCACAAACCAAATGCAAAGCTCAAGCAAGCCCGTGCATAAAATTAGCAGAAGTGTGGTGTCTGATTATCTAACATAACATTGAATTTAGGATGACTCTTGAGAAAAAGTGTTTTTTAGGTTACTCCTAAAAGAGCTTATAGAACACATAAGAATTAAGTGTGTCTTGTTATATTACTTTTACCCTCTTCATGGATTTTTTAGATTCGTTGGCCATTTTTGAGGAAGACTATCTCCCATTTCACAAGATAATGGTTATTGGTTCCGTTAGTAGGTACTATACTATCGCTTGAGGAAGTGGATCAATTTTTTTTTTGCAGTATTAGTATAATGCTAGACTCATTAGATCACCTTGAATAGTTTGGCCTTCTGGACGACTCCTCCAATCTCTCCGATGCGTCCATTCTTTATCTTACATAATCACATTGAGAACTGATGTGTGGGATATTACAAAATGATGCTGATTCCATGTATCATATGCTAGAAAATAACTGCTAACCAAAACAGTACTCTGCTCATTTGATTTCTTGTAGGTTTTGATGGCTCAGATAGTATCTCTGCGTCCTCTGATGATTTTAAAGACCAGAACCCTAGGTACAATTCAAGAGGGCTTCAACTACTGGAATTCTTTGTCACGAGATGTCATGAACTTGGGGTAATGTAATCCATGTTTATACGATTTTTCATGGTGGAGTGATCTGTCAATATAAATATGCAAATTATACAGCCAGCTTTACATGATGTTCATATTCCACATAAATCAAATGTGAGATCCCACGTTGGTGGGAGAGGGGAACGAAACATTCTTTATAAGGGTGTGTAAACCTCCCTCTTGTAGATGCGTCTTAAAACCGTGAGGCTGACGGCGATACGTAAAGTGCCAAAGCAGACAATATCTGCTAGCAGTGGGTTTGAACTGTTACAAATGGTATTAGAGCTAAGCACCAAGGGGTGTGCCAGCGAGGAAGCTGTGCCTCGAAAGGGGTGGATTGTGAGATCCCACGTCAATTGGAGAGGAGAATAAAACATTATTTATAAAGGTGTGGAAACTTCTCCCTAGTAGATGTGTCTTAAAATCGTGAAGCCGACGACGTTACGTAATTGGCTAAAACGGACAATATCTACAAGTGGTGAGTTTGAGCTGTTACATTTGTGTTACAATCATTGTGTGGCAATTTTGTAGGTCACTTGCGAATCTTGGCTTAAGAAAGGCGATCCAACTGAAGTAATTTGCCTAGAGGCGAAACGCGTGCAACCTGATTTTCTAGTTCTGGGAAGCAGGGGGCTTGGCCCGTTCAAGAAGTATGCTCTAGTTTTATTAGCGCTTCTACATTAGTGATTCTAAAGTACAAACCACATTTGATCATTTCTTCCAATCTCCGGTCTTAGAGCCGTCCGGAGTCTGTGTTTACCATTGACCCTTTACGGAATTGGAAACCTAACTGCCTGAAAATTCCTCTTGTGGATGTCTGTAGGGTTTTTGTGGGCACTGTAAGTGAGTTCTGTGCAAAACATGCCGAGTGCCCTGTCATTACAATCAAACGCAGGGAGGACGAGACGCCCGAAGATCCCATCGATGACTGAGTTTTCAGCCAGTAAAACTCACGGCCTCTTTGATTTCCCTTCATCATGTTTATAAATAAGAAACTTTTGGTGAGCGTCTTGTGCATTTAGTGTGTAAAGGTTGCAAATTCGCCACTGATTTGCATTTGTGTTGTGATTTGTTCAAGCATACAGCCATTATTTTGTTCATTTGATTGATGACTCATTTGGGATTTGGTAACATCCTTTCCATGTGAGATATATAGTTAAAACCATTCTCTTTCTCTCTAGAAAACAGGAATTTTGTATGGAATTTCACAGAAATAGACGTTGAAATACAAGTTTATGTAATTTTACAGATCCAATGAAGGAAGAAGAAGAACAAGGGCAACAATTTGGTGAATAGAAGCAGAAAATAAGCATGGCTTCACAGTTCATATCAAGAAAAATGGAAAATCCGCAAGACTGAGTAAGTTTCTCTAAAACAAATTTAACTCCTTTTTCCCCGCCGCCATTAAACAATGGTGATTTTAGCTCCAGCTTCTTCGAGCTGTTTCTTGGCATCCTCAGCTTCTTCTTTCGAAACCCCTTCTTTGAATTTCTTGGGCAGACCTTCGATGAGTTCTTTAGCTTCCTTCAAAGCCAAGTTTGTCAGTGCCCTCACTGACTTAATCACTGCAATTCTGGCATTGCTAGGCACTTCCTCAATGACCACATCGAATTCCGTCTTCTCCTCCACTGCCTCGGCTGCTGCGTCACCACCTGCGACGCCACCAGGTGCTGCCACAACAGCGGCAGGGGCGAAGGCAGCGGCGGAGACCCCAAGCTTGTCTTGGAGGAAGTCGACCAGAATCCGGGCCTCTTCAAGGGTGAGGTTGGAGATGTCGGAGCCGAGTTTCTCGATTTTCTCAGGGGCTGACACGGCGGCGATGGGGCGGAGGCGGGTGGTGCGGTGGGATAGGAATGGGAGGGTCGTGGGTTTGGAGGAGAGGGTGGAGAAAGAGGAATGGGAATGAGAAAGGAGAGATGGGGTACGGAGGGTGAGAGTGGAGAGTGTGGAAGCCATTTTCTTCTTCTGGTGAAAATAGAAAGAAAGACAGAACGAACGAACGAAGAAGATGATATGATAGGATAAGGAATTGTTGTTGGAAGACTTGGATATAGAACTTACAAGGTGTTTGGTATTTTTATCTTCCTTCACTACCCCTCATATTTTTTACTTATTACTCCCCAGAGAGACTCAGCTACTCGGTCCCAGTGGAGGGCAAAATAGGGAGATAAGGAAAAAGGTAAGCTCTTATTCTATTTCAATTTTATTTAATAATTGTATTACTTCCCTGGAGATAATTCTTAACTATAACACTTTCTTTCCATATTTTCATTCAAAATAATAATATGAAATCTGTTTTTCCTCGATTTCATTTTAAACCAACTCGAGCATTAGTGGTTCCCAACTCGAGCATTAGTAGTTCGTGTAAGCATGATAAGATTGATTTTTTTTATTAAAAAAATTGTATTTATTCGAAATATTCGAATTCATAGTCAAATTTTTAAAATATTTTCGAAGTATTAATTATAATTTAATTATTTTTATTTCACCATTCAGATTGATTAACATTTTAAAAATATTAGAACTAACCAACTACGACGATAATGACCTAACTAAAAAGCGAATGAGTCTCACCAGTAAAGTAAACTATAAATTATCGGACTTTTTTTTATTTTTTATATATAGCTTTTTTGTAATTGAATATATGTTTGATAGCATTCAATATTTCCCACCGTTATGAATGATACCAAGTACATAATTGGTACATCATCAAACCTCCCATGCTTGATGCTTTGCTAAACCCGGTACACGACTCGACTCTTCTCACCATCGGCGACGTCTCCTCCCATACCAATATGCAAATGCAGCAATCGATCCAGCAAGGATAACCCCAGCGGTCGCATGCCATGGATACACTGGTTTTTCTAGAACAAGGGAAGGACCAGAATCACCAACATTGGTGATTTGTGATGGAGGAGGTGGTTTGCGACTAACTGCCATGGCATAGCTCAGTCCTCGGCTTTCCAACTCAGCCAAATCCTCAATAGCAGGTTTCAGACCGGTGACCATGGCTATAGCTGCATACTCTTCTTTTGTTCCACCTTCAAGAAAAGATCCAACTAGGTGACCTTTGTTTACCCAATAAGCCCCGAACGTGTTCCCTGAGAAATCCCCGAAATGTACGACCTCCCCAACATTGTCCCCGTAAAACTGCCACGAGAGTGCGAATATTCTCGAGTAGAAAAATGGTACATAATCAAACTCTCCAGATTTTTCTGGCTCCATAATGGCAGCAACAGCATGTCTAGCACATTTTCTGGCAGAATCAACATGCTCGAGTCTCCGGGTCTCACCGAAAAGCTTGACTGGAAATGCTGCTACATCTCCAACTGCATAGACCGAGCTATTACTCGACTGCATCTTTTCGTTTACCTTGATTCCACCCTTTTCCAAGGTCAGCTGGCCTTCAAACAGACTCGTGTTTGGTCGGATTCCTATTCCGACAACAACCATGTCCACAAGGAGCCGTTTTCCATCTCTTAGGTTGACAGCAACAACCTGAAAATGGTTAGTTAATCAGTGTCTACAAAGAATTTGTTGAAAATTATTGGGAGTGAGTCCCACATTGGTTAATTTAGTGGAAGATCATAGGTTTATAAGTGTGGAATACTATCTCCATTGGTATGAGGCCTTTTGGAGAAGCCCAAAGCAAAGCCATCAAAGTGAACAATATCATATGCTATTGTGGAGAGTCGTGATTCCTAACATGATATCAATATCATATGCCATTGTGGAGAGTCGTGATTCCTAACATGATATTAGAGCCATGCCCTAAATTTAAGTGGACATTGTGATTCCGGGAGGAAAAACTTTATGAAACAAACAAGGAATCAGTTCCTCTTTCTCTCATCAAATTCATATTTTTTCACCCAATCACTAAAGTTGAGTCTGCAGTACCTTTCCGTCAGCGTCCATATCAAAAGATGACAAGGCAGTTCCTTTGACAAACTCCACTCCTTTAGATTTGTAATAATCTTCATAAAAGCTTGCAATCTTGGGGGTAAATAGACGAGGCACTATAAAGATGAAAAGTTCCTCAAGTTTACCAATTGTGCATGCACCAAGGATGGTTAATGACAAGCAATAAAAGAAAGCAGAACAGCTAGGTTACTTACTGCACTGTGCTTCAGGGAAAACCATTGTTACATTAATTTTATTAATCACTAGAGATGCAGCACACTCCATTCCTATGTAGCCACCACCGATCACAACAGCATTACCCCCCGAACAAGAATGCATCACATCAACAAGCCTATTCGCATCGGTTAGGTCTCGTAGATAACATACATTTTCTGCATCCGATCCATTCACTCCAAATTCTTCTAGCTTCAAAGCCTACACCCGAAAGAACGAAAAAAAGGAAAAATACTCAACCCATCGCAAGAACTCGAAGCCATTTACACACTGGCTACTTGTACATTTTGAAGCCAAGGACTACAATTCTAGACTACCATGAAACTTCAAGATCTATTAGATCAGTGAAATCTGTCTCACAATGAGCAACAAGTTTGGACCATTTATACCCAGATGTTAGCTAAAGAAAGCGAAAATATATGAAAATTGTGCTTTCTTTAAAAGATTGCTTCTATACCCGAGCACCTGTTGCGACGATGAGAATCTTGTAACTGATAGTCTCTCCAGCTGCTGTTAACAAGGTCTTACGCCTAACATCAGCTGATATTACTCGGGTCCCAAGAACTAATTCAATTCCTGAAGAGAAGACAGAATCATGGTTACTAGGCTTCACAACTAATACCTGCCTGAATCATGACTCATGAGATATACAAATTTGTATATGAAAAAGCAGAAATGATATCAGATGATCAAATTATCGCATGCTCCTAATTTCTGGCTGTGTGCATTTGAGTATACAAAGGTATAAAGTGATATGAAATGACTCAACTAGAGGCGAGCAGTAGAAAATGATTAGCATGATCAAATGCTCTATGAACTTCCTACATCTACACGTTAGAATTGCAGACCAAACAAGGCAGATACGAATTACTTGCCATGTTCTTTGTACCATTTTGGAGTTAACCGTTCCTCATTGGCACCGACACATGTGTGGAATGCTGGAAGGCGTGCTGGAGCTGCACATTAGCATAGAATTCTACATTACATGTGTCCTAAAAAAAAACAATGGCAAAAGTTTCTGTTGGATGCTAATCAAGATGGCATACAAAAGTTAGCATCCTGCTAAATGACAAGAGCAACCATCCCATGCTCAAGGAAACGCCTGGTTTTCGGTAATTCTTGAAGAAATGTATCAAATGATTTTTTTAGTACAACAATTGAAGATACGAGGATTTAAACTTCTGACTTCAAAGAAAGGAGTACATGTCAGCTACCAATAAGCTATGCTCACTATGGCTTCTGTTAGTTGTTCTATTTCCTAATCTATTATACATAAATAGCCATTGATGCGGCAAAGTAAAAAGTCCTACCTTCTGGAAGTAAATACCCTTTACTTAAAGCAGGTCTCTCATAAGGGGCTACCTATCAGAGATTCAAAGAAACTTCGTATCATGAAAAATCAAAGATAATTCCCACTTTGCACATGAATAGCAAATGAAATAAGATAACAAAATAGTACTGATTTTATTATAAACATCAATTTATCTTCTAGTTTACGTGTTTAATCCAACTGAGAAGCTCCACGACGACAGGGAATGAGCAGTTCAGCAGAGAAATTCTGTGTCATATATGGTAATTAATGATATTCAAATCATAGGGAGAAAATTTCTATTTATAAAGAAAAGAACACCGGCAGAAGTAGGAGTGCCAAAAACAGATGGACCTGTTTGTTCAATATGCCTCGAAAATCCATTTCCAGTTGATGACAAATAGATACATACAAAACAGGTATAATAACGACGAGACTTAAGAAATCAGAGATTCCCAAAAGAATGCCTGAATCAGGGAATTTGCTTGTGAAAAGTGGAATCCTATTTTGAACTAAAAGTTGAATCATGTAAGTGCGTGGCGATGAAAATGTGATAATCATTGCGAAGAAGAAGAAGAAGAAGAAGTAAAGTTAGGTAAGGAATTAGGGAGATAGAAAGGATTTGCTCACCGATTCCTCGGAGATTATGCAGAGTTCGCCATGAGAGACTCCTCTGTTGGAGAATTCAAGGGCGGCATAACCAGCAGCAACGCCTCCACCAAGAATCACATACACAAACGCCCTCCCCATCTTCCTCCTCTCTATCTCTTTCTCTCGCTATTGGTCTCCGGTGGTGCAGTCGATTCTGAGCATGGACCTCCTTCCGAACCATTCCAAGAGATAAAGAAGAAGATAAAATTATATAATATTTTCTTGTGTGGACTTAATTTTATTTTCTTTAAATTCGGATTTTATTTCAATTTTATCAATGTTTTGTATGAAAAAAAATAATAAATTAATAATAATACATTTGAAATTTTTAATTAGTATTATGGAGGCTAAAATCGTCATTTAACATTCTCTTAAATATTATTTCAGCGTACAAAAGACAAATCAATTTCCAGCTATCCTATATCGGCGACGCGTGGCAGTTAAGGAAAGGACAAATTTACCATATTGTCCTCCGTTCTATCACTGCCACATACTACATTTTCTTTCCTTTTTCTTTTTTTTTTGTTTTTTTGCAAAGTGAATTGCGAAAATTCTGTGAAATATTATGGTTCATACAAAATATAATTTTTTTTAAAAAAAAATGAATTTGATGAATTATACACGAATATATCAACGTCACAAATTTATTCAAATCGGCAAATTAGAGTTATAATTAGAGATGTCTATTTAACTTACAGGAACTGTCCTATTTAATATGGGAAAATTCTCGTTTAAACAAGGAATGAAAGAGGGAGCGGGGAAGAGATCTTTCTCCATTAACTAACATCGGGGCGTAGACGAAAATTATATGCGAAGATGACATAAAAATTCTTAGCGAGAAACTCGATCCGTGTAAATTGGGCCTAAGCCTAATGATTTTGAATCCAAGGCCCAGCCCAAAGGAAGATTGGGCCATTTAGAACTAAAAAGGATTCAATTGGT